CAAGGGGTTGACACCTTTTGCCAAGGTGTTCCAACCTTTTGCCAAGGTGTTCACACCTTTTGTCAAGGTGTCCACACACCTTTTGTCAAGGTGTTCACACCTTTTGTCAAGGTGTCCACACACCTTTTGTCAAGGTGTCCACACACCTTTTGCCAAGGTGTTCATACCTTTTGTCAAGGTGTTCACATGAAGGTGCCCACACCTTTTGCCAAGGTGTTCAACCTTTTGACAAGGTTTCCACACCTAAGGGTCACAGTCATCCTCTGGCTGATGGCCAAAGCCAGGCCTGGTGAGCTGCAGGTGCAGAAGTACCAAGTACTTCTGCAAGAGTTTTGTGCAAACTCTTGTAGCTTTGTTTCCAAAGCTCACACTGTGGCCAATGACAGACATCTGTCCCACAAAGGATTCTGCTCTATAGTTGGCATGCAGCCTGATGTTCATCCATTTGCTGTTCTGAACCAAATGGAGCATGGAGTGGAACTTGAAGGTGATGTGAAAGAGCTTCCTTCCTTCTTCTGCTGCCCAGCAGTTCAACCTACTGTATAGGTTGAAAAAGCTTGTGGAAAGCTCCTGTGCTGCTGCAAACTCTGCAGCAGTGAGAAAAGCACCACAGCCATCGAAGTGCTGCACCAACTGGTTGAAGGCTTTGCAGCACTGCACCATGCTTTGGTGGATGTCAACTCCAAGATCCAGGCAATCTGCCAAAATCTGCTCCAACACTGGCAGAAACCATTTGCATTCTGCAGCCTTGCATTCCAAGACTGGGAAGGCCTTGAAAGGAGACTGAGTGTCTGTGATCATCGACAGTCTGAGGTTGGTCAGTCTGTTGGAAATTCTTCTTTCAGAATAGATGTCCTTCACTTTGGCAAATATCACTTGGATCCTCTTGGAGGCTGAGACTTTCTGCCTGTTAGGCCAATCATAGAAGGCCATGTAATGTAGCAGGCTGCCTGCCAGGTGCGACCCAACACCCTTGCAATACAATATGTGCAGGGCATCACCCCTGATCATAGCTGTTGAAACACCAGTGATTTGAAAGAGTGCATGATTGCTCCTTTTGGCAAGGAGTGCCTCTGCTGGGCTTACATATTTGTAGTCTTGCTCTGATGCTTTCAATAGCTTCACTGACTTGCCAGCAGGGCATGGCACTTTTCTGAACACTGGTCGCTGGCAGTCGCACAGCCAGGATACTGGGAGGCCCAGTGTCCAACCTTGAGCACATTTGAGTAAAACTCAGCATCACCTTGTATTGACCACAGTGCTGCCCTGTGGTGCCCTTTTGTCAAGGGCTTGCCAGCCAAGGATGCCAACTCCCCTTTGGGCAAGGGGTTACCCCAAGGGTCTTCACAGGGGTGCCACCCCTTGCCCAAAGCCTCAAAAGACCATGCAATCCAAGCATCCAACACAGGCCATGTTGTGGGTAGTGTGCAGCTCTTGGGTATTGCACAAATCAGGAGATGGCTGTTGAGGCAGCTCTGCTTGGAAAGCAGGCTGCCCCATGACCAAGTCATCAGGCTGTCCCTGTTTTGAAATTCACAGCCATCTCCATGTACAAAGACTGGCACTGTCTTGGCTGGAGCTTGAACAACACCACTTTTGGCAAGTGGTTCAGCCAGCCATGGATCTTTCACATGCTGAACCTGATGCCAGAAGGCCTGGCAGTGCTGTGTGCAAAATAGCTTCTCAAAGGCATCGGCATAGTTGTCACTGAGCCTGGAAAAAAGAAGATGTGGCAAAAGGATGGATGCCCCTGTCTGGACTTCCTTCTGGCTCTTCAAATCAAGCATTGGCACCACAACTTCCTGGGGCTGAGGCAGCCCCATGCTTCTGCAGCACCATGCCAGAAGGTCCCTGTGGCAGTTTCCTTTGCTCTCTTGAAAGTTCCCACATTTGGCAAGGCTCATCATCTCTGAGTGTTGATCGCCTCCAAGTACATTCATGTGTGCTAGCTCACAAGCCTGAGTTGCTGATATTCTTCCCTGGCTCCAGAGCTGCAGCAGCCTTGTGCACATGGGGCTAGGCATTTCATCCTCTTTCATCTCATCCTTTTGGCAAGGATTTGCCATCTGTAATTCCTTCTTCCACCCCCTAATCCTCTTCACTTTTCTTTCACCCAACATCAATCCTTTCAGCAAGGATTTTGAAGCCTCTTGTAGCCCTTTTAGCAAGGGCTTGAAGGTCTACAGTGGCCCATAGTTCTACAGTGCCACTACTGCTGATAAGCCAGATGCAACACATGCTTTTCAATCACAAACAAAGCTATAGATGAGACGAACCTAAATGTTTACTAGGTACAGCTCTGGGCTGTAGTGCAACTGGAAACCAACCAGTTCAACACCTCAAGGCATAGTCACACCCTTCTTTGCTCAATCCCTGAAGTTGTCTGTTTGTTCTCATACACCCTTTTGGCAAGGGGTCATGAAACTGTACAGCCTCCTTTGGTCAAGGAGCTGTGAAGCTGCATCCTTTTGGCAAGGATTTTGAGTCATGAACATTCAGCCTTTTGGCAAGGAGTTGTGAAAATGAATCCTTTTTGCAAGGGTTTT